CAGTTCTGAGAGTTATTTGTGTGTGAAAGCCGTCCTTGCTCTAGCTGAATGGAACACATAGTTTCTTTTCAGTTGCAAACTCCACCTCATACATATATATGGGGAGGTACAAGCTCCAACTCGGTTTTACAGTGAAAACTGCAGGAACTTCAAAACGGCACTAGGAAAGAGACTGAGAATCCAGAGTAAATGTTTGTCCTGCAAACCGTTCCCTTTGTGCTGGATGAACGAACGTCTCTCCACATGCTCAGTTCTGAGAGATAAGTGTGGGTGTAAGCCTTCCTTCACCTAGCTTGAAGGGAACACAAAGATTCTATTCATTTGCAAACTCCACTACATACATATAGATGGGGAGGTATAAGCTCCAACTCGGTTTTACAGTGAAAATGGCAGGAATTTCAAACCGGCACTAGGAAACACACTGAGAAACCAGAGTAAGTGTTTCTCCTGCAACCCTTTCCCTTTGTGCTGGAGGAACGAACGTCTCTCCACCTCCTCAGTTCTGAGATATAAATATGTGTTAAAGCCGTCCTTTAAGAAGCTTGAAGGTAGCACAAATATTCTCTTCAGTTGCAATCTCCACTACATACATATATAAGGGGAGTTACATGCTCCAACTCGGTTTTACAGTGAAATTTGCAGGAACATCACACGGGTACTAGGAAAGAGCCTGAGAAACCAGAGTAAGGGTTTCTCCTCCAACCCTTTCCCTTTGTGCTGAATGAACAAACGTCTCTCCACATGCTCAGTTCTGAGAGATAAGTGTGTGAAAACACTCCTTCACCTAGCTTGATGTGAATACATAGATTCTTTGGAGTTGCAAATTCCAATGCATACATATATATGGGGAGGTACTAGCAACAACTCTGTTTTACTGTCAAACTGCAGAAACATGAAACCGGAACTTGGGAAAAGACTGAGAAACCACAGTAATTGTTTCTCCTGCAACCCGTTCCCTTTGTGCTGGATGAAAGAACTTCTCTCCACATGCTTAGTTCTGAGAGATAAGTGTGTGTGAAAGCCGCCCTTCACCTTGCTTGAAGGGAACACAAAGTTTCTTTTCATTTGCAAACTCCAATACATACATATATAAGGGGAGGTACAAGCTCCAATTTGTTTTTACAGTGAAAACGGCAGGAACATCAAACCGGCAATTGGAAACAGACTGAGAAATTAGAGTAAGTTTTTCTCCTGCAACCCGTTCCCTTTGTGCTGAACGAACCAACGTCTCCCCACGTGCCCATTTCTGAGAAATAAATTGTGTGAAAGCCTTCCTTCGCCTAGCTTGAAGGTAATACAAAGTGTGTTTTCAGATTCAAACTCTACTACATACATATATATTGTGAGGTACAAGCTCCAACTCGGTTTTACAGTGAAAACTGCAGGATATTCAAACCGGAACTAGGAAACAGACTGAGAAACCAGAGAAAGTGTTTCTCGTGCAACCTGTTCCCTTTTTGCTGGACGAACCAACGTCTCTACATGCTCAGTTCTGAGAGATAAGTGTGTGTGAAAGCCGTCCTTCACCTAGCTTGAAAGCAACACAAAGTTTCTTTTCAGTTTCAAAATCCACTACATACACATATATTGGTAGGTACAAGCTCCAACTCGTTTTTACAGTGAAAAAGGCAGAAACATCAAACCGGCAATTGGAAACAGACTGATAAACCAGATTAAGTGTTTCCCTTGCAACTCGTTCCCTTTGTGCTGGATGAACGAACGTCTCTCCACATGCTATGCAATGAGAGATAAGTGTGTGTGAAAGCCATCATTCAAAAAGCCTGAAGGGAACACAAAATTTATTTTGAGTTGGTACTCCACTACTTAAATATATATGGGGAGTTAAAGCACCAACTCGGTTTTACAGTGTAAACTCCAGAAATTTGAAACTGGAACTAGGAAACAGACTGAGGAACCAGAGTAAGTGTTTCTCCTGCAACCCATTCTCTTTGTGCTGGATGAACGAACGTCTCTCCACATGCTCAGTTATGAGAGATAAGTGTGTTTCAAAGGCGTCCTTCACCTAGCTTGAAGGGAACACAAAGTTTCTGTTGAGTTGCAAACTCCAAAGTATATATATATATGGGGATATACAAGCCCGAACTCGGTTTTAAAGTGAAAACTGAAGGAACTTCAAACCGGCAATAGGAAACAGACTGAGAAACCAGAGTAAGTGTTTCTCCTCCAACCCGTTCCCATTGTGCTGGATGAACGAACGTCTCTCCACATGATAAGGTCTGAGAGATAAGTGTATGTGAAATTGTCCTTCAACTAGCTTGAAGGGAACAAAAAGTTTCTTTTCAGTTGCAAACCCCACTACATACATATATATGGGGTGGTATAAGCTCCAACTCCGTTTTACAGTGTAAACTGCAGGAACATCAAACCGGCACTAGGAAACAGACTGAGAAACCAGAGTAAGTTTTTCTCCTGCCACGCGTTCCCTTTGTTTTCAATGAACGAACGTCTCTCCATATGCTCAGTAATGAGAGATAATTGTGTGTGAAACCCGTCCTTCACTTAGCTTGAAGGGAACACAAAGTATCTTTTCAGTTGCAAACTCTGCTACATAAATATATATGGGGAGGTAAAAGCTCCAACTCGGTTTTAGAGTGAAACTGTAAGAACTTCTACCCGGAAATAGGAAACAGTCTGAGAAACCAGAGTGTTTCTCCTGGTACCCGTTCCCTTTGTGCTGGATGAACGAACGACTCTCCACATGCTTAGTTCAGAGAGATAAGTGTGTGTGAAAGCCGAACTTCACCTAGCATGAAGGGAACACAAAGTTTCTTTTCAGTTGCAAATTCCAATCCATACATATAGATGAGGAGGTACAAGCTCCAAATCGGTTTTACAGTGAAAAAGGCTGGACTTTAAAACCGGCAGTAAGAAACAGACTGAGAAACCAGAGTAAGTGTTTCTCTTGCAACCCAGTTCCTTTGTGCTGGATGAAAGAACGTCTCTCCAAATGCTAAGATCTGAGAGATAAGTGTGTGTGAAAGCCGACCTTCACCTAGCTTGAAGAGAACTAAAGTTTCTTATAAGTTGCATACTTCACTCCATACACATATATGGGGAGGTAGAAGCTCCAACTCGGTTTTACACTGAAAACGGCAGGAACTTCAATCCAGCACTAGGAAACAAACTGAGAAACGAGAGTAAGTGTTTCTCCTGCAACCTGGTCCATTTGAGCTGGATGAAAGAACATCTTTCCGTATGCTCAGTAATGAGAGAAAATTCTGTGTGAAAGCCGCCCTTCACCTAGCTTGAATGGAACTCAAAGTTTCCTTTCTGTTGTAAACTCTACTAAATACATATATATGTGTAGGTACAAGCTCCAACTCGGTTTTTCAGTGAAAACTGCAGGAATTTCAAATCGGAACTAGGAAACAGACTGAGAAACCAGAGTAAGTGTTTCTCCTGCAACACGTTCCATTTGTGCTGGATGAACGAACGTCTCTCCATATGCTAAGCAATGAGAGATAAGTGTGTGTGAAAACAATCCTTCACCAGGCTTGAAGGGAA